CCCTGTGCGCGTCTGGCGAGCCCCGAGCGGTATCTGGGTGAACTGGGAGCTGGCAGGCTCTCCCTCCCTCCCTCCCTCCTTCCTTCCCTCGCTCGTTCCCTCGCTCGCTTTTTTCAAAAGAAGGCTGGTCGAAGCGGTCCTCGTTGCCAAACTTATCCCAGATTGGAATCGGCTGGGGGAAGACTTTCAACAGCGCTCGGTCTGCAGGGAGGCGCTTTGGTTGCAAAATACGCGTATCGATTTCCCCTTTAAAAAAAAAACCAACCCTAAAAGTTAGGAGAAATGAGAAACAGGCGGTCGTTCGGTTCCTTTTCTGTCCTCTGTCGTGATCTATCTTCCCTCGATCAGGGCAGAGCCGAGCCAAAGTGGTCACTCGGCAGGAATTCACCGTACCCCCAGCGAGGGCGCACGGAGAGGGTCCCAATTAACAGAAACACTAGATTTTTTTATATTCATTTTTTTAAAAATCATTACATGGCTAAGAGTTAAATTCAAAAAGAGAAGATGGTTCTAAATTATTTAATTTCTGCCCAGAGCAGAGCTGGACAAGTATGTTGAATGCATTCATGGCAGCCTGCAGGTTGTACCACCCCTCTGAGCACCACTAAAATGGGAAAAAGGAGCCGGGAGTCCTGTTCAGAGCAAGGATTTCTTTGATATCTCTCCTGGTCACCCCCCATGGGTGGCATCCTGCTGTGTCCCCATGTGGAATGGAAACTATAGGGAGAAAGTATCGTCACTTGTGTAGGACAGAATGGTGCAGGATGGGACACCCCAGACCAAGGGCGTTACTGACACCAAAATCATCATGAGAGGGGAAATGCTGCCCTTGGCTGAGCTCTGTCAGCTGTGGAGTTTGTTGCTGGTGGTGTATAGAGTATTTTAAGCAGTAAAAGACACAGAGAGGATTCAACAGTCCATTGTCCTTAGCCAGTGTCAGGGATAAGCACCAGCCTGAATCAGTTTGTGGATGTGCACCCAATATACTTCTGGGTCTCCTCACCTGTTAATTTTAGGCAGTGCTTAGTTTAAAGTGATGTATTTAGAGAAAATTCCCCAAAGGACTGTCTATGTTGATCAGTTCTTTTGATTTTTTGGCATAGATTATCGCCCTCCAGCGTGGGTCTGAAGCGAGCTGGGGGAGCGCTGCCGGCCCGCACCGGGGCTGCCACCTGGGACGGGAGGCGTGGGAGTGGGGGACCGGGGACTCACGGGGGCTCCCCCTCTCCTCGCCTTCCCGCCGGCAGCGCTTAGCTCAGGGCCGGGGGGGTGGCAGAGCTGCACGGCTGCACCTCGCTTTGCTCCCTGCCCGGCAGCGCTCCTTAGCTGGCAGCAAACGGCAGTGGGGATCTTTATGGCAGGGTAAGCCTGTCCGGGACCTGGCTACTTGTGTAAGGAAATGGCTTAAAAGGGTTGGAGACAACCTAGCGTAAGGAGAGAGACCCCACCGGCTTGCAGTGACAAGAGTGAAGTTTTTTGCCTACTTTTTTGCTTGTCATGTAGTGGTCTCAGGGCAGGTGAGCTGTGAATCCTTCCGAGCCACCCTGGTAAAGCTGTGTCTGCCTATCACAGCCTCACTCCCCAAGGAAATGGAGCTGTTCTAGGCTTAAAAAGTTGCTATCCCTCAATGCACCTTTGCATGAACAAGAGTAAAATGCTTCCATCAAACGTTTTGTCTGTTTGTGACCAGCCTGCTTGCCTGGGTATAGCTTCCCTCTCCATTCAAGTGCCCAGAGCTTCCCAGCCCACACAGCAAGTTACCGGTGGTAATTTTGCAGCAGAACTGGCAATTCACTTGTTCCCTTACTGTCCAGTGCTGGTGCGGGTGAGGCAAGACAGATAGATCCCTACGGGGTGAAATAGGTACTGTCCAACCTTGATAAGTTGCCACTCTGTGAGGGAGATTTTTGTGAGCGCTTTGTCCCTGGAGAGATTTTGCCAGCCGAAGTGGGTGTTCAGAGCCAGCAAAACTCAGCTTTGAGTTAGAAAACAGTAAAACTACTTATTAAAAAAAAAAACAAACCACCAAAACCAACCAAACAAAAAGCCCAACACCCAAACCCAAGAACCCTTCTAGCTGAGACCAAAAGAGAAGTTTTCTTTTTCTTTTTGTCTAAGGAAATAAGGCAGAAGGAATGACATTGAGATGTCTGAATAGTGTCTGGCTCTTCTGTAACTTTTGACTATATTCAACCGTTTTAACCAAATGTGCCAGACAGATAAAGGTCTCAAAAGCTTTATGTACCATCAGCTTCATGAAAACTGGTGTTTTCATGTAACAGTGCAATTAACAGACTGTACTAATTTGTCCTACCAAAAGAATAGCTTCAGCTTGTGCTCGGTGTTTATTAGACATCAGAGAACCCACAAAGCATTCACTTCTGCAGTGCAAACCTGTAGAATAATTCGTCAAATCAGCTGTACTGTGCTTGGAACAATTTGTTTCAAATTTTAAAACAAGATAAGGAAGATGTGTTTGTCAGCCTTGGGGTGAGACCAGCAATCTTCCCTTCCCAAATTATGTCCCCTTCTGCCTCCTGCTTTAGGATGATAAGGGTTCATGTGTTGGGAAATGCCACATGTACTACTTTTCCCTGGTTTTCAGCCTTGCTGAGAGCAGAGTGAGCCCCAGCCAAGCTCTCGGAGTCAGAGCGCTGGAGGGGCTATGGCAGGAGACATTGGTTCCCTGGTAGTGATGCTGAGAGCTCACCCACTGTCTGTCCTGCCGCTGCCTGGTGCTCAGTGCCTGTTGTGGATCACCAAGCAAGGGGAACAGAATGCCAAAGGGATTCTTGTGCTAGGAGGGGTGTTGTCATTCCATTCCGCCTTGCATTGAGGTGACAGAAGAACACCCTCTTCTTTGCTGTGCTGGATCCCCTTTCTTGGGCAGGAAACAACTTCGGGACTCACAGACATGTTAGTCATGGTTAAACTTTCTCTGCTCCTGATTTCAGGTGGGATGGGATTAAAAATCCCTCTCCCAGCCTCAGAGAGGACAGGATTGCATTCTCAAATCATAGATCTGAACAGTTAGTCTCTTGCGTGTTGTTTAGGGTAAAGCTTGCTTAAACTTCTTTGGTATGACCTTGCAGAGACACTTCCACTGCAGCTGTGCTGAGTGTTGTTGTATGACTGCATTCAATTTCAGACCCCCTTTCCAGTACAAACCCACCGATGTGTAGCTGTCAGGCACAGATTTGCAGTGGGAAATCCTTGCACCTTTCTCCTTCCCTTCCACATTAGCACTAGCCAGTCTGGTATATGTTCACAAGGCTCACCCTGCAGCCCTCATTCCTCCTCCCCCTGTAGATGGGAGTTTCTCCTCCCATTTATTAACTCATAGATGGTATCGCTGTTTGGACTGGCATAAAACTAATAGAAAGCATCCTCCAGTTTTGTTAACTTATAGTCCAGATCCTGGTGTGAATCTGGAGGAACTATGCTCCCACTGATGAATTCCTTTCTGCCCATCAGCCTGTGGGATCTGATTCTGGCTCATCTCTTGGTAGAGGCACTTAGCAAAAAGCGTTTTCCCTCCTGAGGACAGGATAATTTCATTATGTTGTCTGTGGTTATATGTGCTAGAGACAGGCGTTGGTAAATTTGCAATATATGCAGATCAGCTGCACTTTGAAAAGCTGTCTCTTTTCTCACCTTCCTAGACAGCAGTTTAAGGATTCCAAGCCTTTCCCTGCTCTTTAGCTCTCCATCTGCCTTTAAGGGAACTGGGTTTGGATGCTGCTAGTGCTCCTGTGTGGCTAAATAAACAGGGCGTCAGATTGCCATGTGGCATCTAAAGCCCTGTCAGGTACAGATCTGACCATGTACAGCATGAGCCAGACCTTATGGATAAGGTGTATGAATTTAATTCCTCCCAGAGGGTAAAAACTGCTCCACTGGGAAATTATTTAAAATCTTTATCAAGAAGCAGCTCCTTCTCGACTTCCAGGCGAGGCTTCTGTGTTTGTATTTTAGTGTGCATGGGGCTTTGAAGCTTACATACAGAGTGAGGACCTTATTTATGTGCACTTGGTTGCCAGTAATTGAGTTTTTCCTTGGAGAAATCTTCCTCGGAGAAATCGGGTAGCAGAAGGACTGCATCAGAGGCTGTGGGGAGAGCCAGGCTGCTTTTCTCAGTTCTGCATGCATATTCATTGCTGATTTTTAGCCTGGGGGGGCTACACTTAATTCTGTCCCTCGTGATGCCAGTGACAAGACTCTCATCCAGTCTGGTGGTCCCCGATCGGTATATGGGGAGCACACTGATAACTGTCTCCTGGATTGCCGTTACTTTGCCACAGGCTGGGAGTTGAAGAGATTCCAAACCTCTCCCGCAAAACCACTGTGATCTCGCGTCTCTGAGTCGCATCTCCTCCTGCGAATATCTCGGCTGGGCGTAAAGGTTGGCTGGAGTGGGAAAGGTCAGCTTCTGGGCCCTGGGAAAGCCCGAAAGACTCGGGGCTTTTCTCTGGCCAGTAAGTCCCCCGTGAAAAGCCTGCACCTGAGCTGAGCCGTTTTGATCTGAACCCTTTGGAATTCATCGCTTTCTTCTGGCTACCTTCTAATTTGGCCCCGGGTCAAAATCATTTGGCAAGAACAACACTGAGGACAAGTGCCCCCTTTTTTGGCCTTTATCTTGTCTAATTACCAGGAGCATCCCTGCACAATGGAGAGGCTCCTTATTCTAATCTCTTCTTCTTTACTTATCTCCATTTTCTCTCCCTCTTCTTTTCTCTTCCAAAATCCCACGTACCAGGATTGAAAGGCTGGGTACTGGGCTAAAAGGATTGTGCTGTGAGCTGTGGGCAAATGCTCTCCTAAAGCTACAGCTTTTCTATTGCTTTTTTTCACCTGCATATTTGGAGGGAGTTTCTGTCAGCCCTGCTCTGTGTAGCTGTGCTGCTGACCGGGAGCAAGAGGGAGTAACGTGTCCTTTCTCTCCCTGTGTCCCGCAGAGAAACCCGTCAGCCTGACTTACCGATGCCCCTGTCGATTCTACGAGAGCAACGTGGCAAGAGCCAACATTAAGCACCTCAAAATCCTCTCCACACCCAACTGCTCCCTTCAGATTGTGTAAGTCTCTTACTCTTTTCAGCTGGGTACAAATCTCAGGTGTCAAAAAGAAGAGTCACAGAGCTCGTTCGTTCTTTGGTGGCTGCAATTTGCTCTGCGTTTCATGCTGTGATTTCCAATTCATCTCTTCACCCCATGTGCCAGCTGGACCCCGCTTTACTCCACACAAAGGAGTCCAGCTAGATGTTTCCCAGCTGTGTTCTACTTCTGTGATCTCTCTGTGACTATGTGATCCCAGGTCCTGTTCCC